ATATATATATATATATATATATGTACATTACGTGCATAGGGAAAAATTGTAGTTGCTAACAAGAATCCAACTGGTTTGCAGCTGTTAGTTCCCACATTAGAAACTGGTGTTTTTAACACAATCTTTGTCATATGGACTGTTAATTGTCCGGCCGTGCGTCGGCTTAATACTAGTTGTATACTAGTTCTTTTACGTAAGTTAAATTTCCAGTTAACCAAAAAAATAACAATAACATAAACAAAAAACCGATTTGCCTACAGCAGGATTCGAACCGTGAACCTATCGGGAGGTAAAGATAATTTCTTTCCTCCCGGGTAACGTGATAGTGTAGCGATGAAAGCCGTGTATGGAACTTAGCCGAGGCGTCCACACGGTGGTGGAAATTATTATTACTCCCGTTACTGGTGAGCTGCTACACGATTAACCAACTGGTTGGATTTCATCAATAAAATACTGGTGTTCAACTAGAATGCTTCCATATTAGTTTGGCTTTTCCCTGCGGGGTATGTATACACCACCGTCGGCAACATGCAATAGAACAATTCGACCGAGTTTTTTATCATAATGGTGGCAAAAACAATAATAATAATAAAAATAATAATAACAGTTTGTTTCACTGCAATTGAACATTTTATGCCGTTAGTTTTTCTGCTGCTTCCTTAGTGCTGTGTATGCTCGCTCAACCACATACATACACATGCACACACACACACACACACACAAAAATACATTTGCACATATCTACAGCCTTATCGATTCAATAGCCGCTTGGCTGAAGTCTGCTGAGCGCCTGGGCGTTGCAGAACGAAAGAATGCTTGGCAGAGGGCGTGCGTGGGGTGGATTAGGGTGTGAGTGGCGGATGGCATTTCATTGTGTCAGTTGCTTACGACAGCGAATAAATTGCAATATTTTATTTACATTCCAAGCTGTAGCTTTGACACACACACACACACACAAGCGCATGCAAGTATTGCCTGTCAGTATGTATGCAGTGCAATGCTAATGCCATTTGTGAGGACATATACGCGTATATATGTATGTGAGTGTACCACTGCTAGCGGCAAATGGCAAATATAATACGCGTTAACGTGGACGGATGCGAGCGCACACATACATACAAACAGCCATTCATGCCAGCGCTGTTATCGCGGCGACCTCTGCGGTGGCAAAAGTTATGTGTATGCGCGGCGTATTTGTGTGAGTTTGTCTGCCCGCAGGTGCCACGGGTAGGTGGCGGAACTGCTGCTACACACCTAACTGTAAATTTAGCAGTGTACGTGGAAGCAGCACACATACTATTATACTACACAAAGAGGTGGACCACGGCAGTAATTCACCCTCACACCCGCCCAAAGGCTACTTGATTCGCTTTTAATCTACTTTGCAATTATTTAAATTTCATGTGTACTCGCACACACACAAACAATACAACAAATACACATACATGCATGCATGCGAACATTTATTCATTTGTATTTCCATTAGCGCACACATCCAACTGTTTCTATTTCTATTTCCATTTCTATTTCTGCTTCTATTTTTGTTTACATTTTCATTTCCATTCCAATTTTGCGTTTGTTTTGCTGCCACTGCTTTTGTTGTTATTGGTGTTGTAAAATTTTTTCAACTTGCATTAACTGTATATTTGCATTTTATTTTAACTTTTATTTTTATTCCACGGCATGCAAATAACAATGTAGAACTGTTTTAACAAACACACACATACACACCCACATAAACACACCACACAACAACACACCCACACATTTTAGTGCATTCCGTGCCAACCGAAGTGGCGTTGTTTTGCCATTTTCTAGTGAACGTTTTGTTTGTTTGCATGTTTGTGCCACCGCAGTGCCACGCTTTGTTACGAATGTTGGGGGGGGGAAGGGCGGCATGCCGCTCGAACGTCCAGCGGCTATTGTTGGCACTTTGGCGCTTCCGAGTAGGCGAACGCTGGTGTGCTTTCGGGTAGCGAGACGAGACGAGACGAGACGAAACTGCACTGCCTGCGCTTTTTTGCCTGCCTTACGTCAACACATATTCGCGTATGCGGCGGCATGTGTGTGTGCGTGTGCGTGTGAGCTCCAAGTGCCGGAATTATGCACTTTTATAGTGATGATTTGCCGTTTTTGCACTGCATAAAACACATAAAGTTCCTCATTGTTCTAAATGGCTTTCAAACGCTCGTTTCCGCCATCGCCCGTCATCAACGCTAGCGCCGCTGCAGTCTGGCTGCGACTGTCCCGGCAGCAGCTAAGCTGAAAAGTGCTCGCAATTTATTATGTGTATATATGTATATATTAAGTGAATGGTTGGTAAATTTGCATTTGCATTTGCATTTCTAGCGAATTTAATTTTCATTTTTATTTTTCGAAGCGAAAGAGATTAACAGTTATTTAGCCGTGAGCCGTGTAATGGCATTTACAACTCGCCAAACAGCGAGAATTAACAAAACCAAAAATAATTATTGTTGTTGCTTGCTTACATCCATATCTATATACATATATACATATATATATATATATATATATATATATATATANCATGTATGTACGGGCTGTAAAAGGAAACTTACGGTAATTCATTTACGTATTAATCGGCGGGATATCAGCAGAGACTCGCTCGCTACGGTACTTTTTCATTGTTTTTATTATTATTGTTAATTATGAGGTAGAAAATAAATATGTATGGGAATAAGAAGTTGCCACACTATTAAAAGTTTATTACTGACAATTGAGCAATATTCGGCGTCTTTTTTTTTTGTTGTTAACATGCAAAAAAAAAAAACATTTAAAATTTTTCCCACCTAAATTTGATTACGCTTTCTGGTCTCTGGTATCTTTGAACTTTGAATTTGTACTCCCTACCTTTGAATCCCTACCCCACCTACTGGAATGATGAAAAATAATGTATGCTACATACATACATAGTTACATAATTACATATGGGCTTATATACTGTTGTTCGTTCTTCCTACTAATCGCTCTCGCTCTGAAAATTTCTTCATCTTTCTTTCCATTTTTGTGCATCATGAAATTTATCGTAAGAACTTTTTGTACGTAAATATAATTCTAAAAATTAAATTTAATCATAACCTTTTTAAAATTCGTCAAAATGCATTCAAATCAATATTATTAGGAACGAATAAGAACTGAGAAACTGAAGAATATTCAAAACAATAATTTGTTCAAGTATTTTCTATTTTCCACAAAATGTTCTAGACTGTTTGCTTGTGTGTGTTTGGATGTTAGATGGCAGATGTGTGTTTGTATGTGTGAGGATGTTGGATGTGGTCGTGGATTGGGTGTGGCGTGTCCGTGTACATGTAGGGGGTGGTGGTGATAAACAAATGGTTTTTAGACGCAGACATTGGGAAAAAGTGGAGGATTTTGTGATTGAACGTATTTTTTATTTTATTTTCAATTATTATTTGCTTTCGTTATTATGTTTAGGCCTTTTTACGTTTTTAAGTTTTCCTTTATTTTAGATGAGGTTTCCTCATCACTTATTTAAAGATGTGAGAAGGATATTCGTTTGTGGGGTTTTGGTTGTGGCACATAAACGGGCTGTGGACGGTTTGTTTTTCAGATTACTCTCACGCTGTTTGCGTGGATTTTCATCGACTCTATGCCATTGCTAATGTTTTTTAACTCTTACTTTTCTTGTTTACCTACGCATTCGTTGTTAATATTTATTAAGTGAAAACGCTCATTTAAAAAAATTTTAAGTTATTTCAAAATTAAGAAAATCAAACAAAAATTGATGAAATTTGAAGGTGATTGAAATTTGTCTATGCGTTAAAAAGCACAAAAAAAATAAGTGAAAAGTGTAAAAATATCATTTTGGCTGAATTAATGGAAAACAAAAGGAACTCGTTTTTATGAGTCTGAAACTTTGAGGAAAATCGCAAATTTCTACTTCAATACAAATTAAAAAATACAGTGAATGCGATAATATTATACTATGATGAACGAAAAATACAAAGGTTGGACGACGTGAGTTAAATAATTTTCGTGAACTTTTTTGTTGTTGTAATTTAAAAATATGTATGTACATTTCAGGCTTCACAGTTTGCTGCTGAATGAGTGTCGAAAATATGAGATGAAAAATAAATTAACGGGCAAATAAATAACTGTATGACTTCCAAAAAAAAACAAAACAAAAATCAACGCTTTTCATGCACAAAACGGCCGAGGAGGCGCGCTGGCAGTGCGGCGGAGTGGCAGTGTGACCGTTGCCTCCTCGGCTCCTCTGTTGCACTAAGCTCGTTTAATTGTGGTTAATTAATGTTAGTGAAGCGCAGTGGCTATAAAACAAAAAGATACCAACACAACGGTTAACCGAAAACAAAATCGAATCGAAATTGAATCAACTGAATACACATAGACACGTACACATACAACAAACAACTTGAATTCTTAATTGTAGTAATAATAACAGATAACAGTATATATAGCATCGAATTTAATTTCATAATTTACGTCTAAGAATGGATGCATTCGTCCGCGAATTACACACACACATAGAGCATAGGAAAAAATATATGTACAATTTGCATTCTGGATTTCTTTGTCTGTATTTGCGTTCATTATTCGTTTTGTGTTTTTGCTTCAACGAAAGGAAAAGGAAATTCGCACTAAAAATAAATCAAAGAGTTTGTTTGCTCCTGATTTTCACGACTGATCTCCGATTTTTAATTTCGAAAACGATTGCGAAAATGAATTTTTAGAGATTTGCATCTGCAGTTAATTAAGATTTGCCAAAATACAAAGTAGGAGCAGACATATTTAAATAAAATTCAAATAAAATAATAAAAATCTTTTTTTTTTTTAATTTTTTTTTAACTTTTTTTTGTATTTTTTTTTGTTTTTTTTTTTTGGTTTTCAGTATGCAATAATTGAAAGATGTTGTTGTTGTCGGTTTTTGCATTCGGTGTTGGTTTTTCTGTTTTTCTAATGTAGTACCTATTTCCCTGGGAGCGCATTTGTCAACTTACCAAGGCGTGAACGAGTTCCAGAAAAGACTTTTCGGTTGAATTTTCACAATTCGCATTTGGTGATTTTTCGTTTTTTTTTCGTTTTTTTTTTTTTGAAATTATTCAGCAATATATTTTTGTTTAATATTTTTTACATAGTTTTTTTTTTTGTTTTTTGCATTTCGTGCCGAGCAGCCGTAAAGCGACAGAAGGGTACACAGACATGTACACAATAAAAAAGACAGGACACAAATCGAAAACAAAGAGACAAAATATAGATATGTATAACATTAATTCAATTACTTAAATTTTTGTTTTCATTTAACTGAGCATTTTTGAGTTCCCTAAAATATCTAAGGACGAATGATCCCTCTTAGTGGTTTCAATCCGCCCACATAACATACTTGGTAAAACGTAAAACATTTGCCAAAAAACTAAGAGAAATCAAGTTAAAAATTCAAACGAAAAACTTTACATTTGACAAGTACACACAAGGACACTGACGGACTGTCGCACTGGCACGCAATGCCCGCGGATCCTGCGCGCGGCGGGCAGTTGTTATCTCCAAAGGCGAGCGCTCGGGCTCCTTCAACGCTGAGCACTTCGCTTTCATCATTTAGTTCATTGGTTAGTAATATGTTAATATGTAGTTAGATAAATATTTAAAATAAGAGCGACAAAATACAATCAAACTCGTCCTTGCTTTAAAAATACTCTCGTGAAAATGAACACTCAACGCAAACATAAGAACTCAGGACTTGGACACGCACATTAGAAGTTCGAAAAAACAAACAGAAAACAAAAGCAATAAAGTAAAAGCGATAAAATAATTGTGAATTTATTGGGGCTTATAAACGTGAAAGCAAAATCGATAATAAAAACCAAAGCAAATGTATGCTGATCTAAAAAATGCCTTAATTACACTTCAAAGCCGCCATAAATCTACAATTCCATTTTGAATACAAACCAAAAAAAAAAAAAAAAAAAAAAAAAAAAAAAAAAAAAACGAATATTGGAATTTACTTATTTGTGTGTTTTGCTATTTCTATCGGTTTTATTGTTGCTCGCCAACTAAATAATGAGCTTAGCTCACTGAGTGCTGGCATTAAAGGATTTAAGTGATTTTTATTTTATCTGGTTTCCATTTTTGGTTTGATTTTTTTGTTTAATTCTTTTTTTTTTTTTTTTAATTTTACACAAAAACATACCATCAACGTTATTTACGATCGCATTTAAAGAGCTTACTACAGGTAGGAAATATGTTTGTATATATTATTTGTTGATATTAGATGAAAATGAAACATAAATAAATAACAACAACAAAAAAGTACACTCTTACGTATAGGACAGAGAGAACTGCTCTCCGCCACCTCATGAACAGTTAGATAGTCTCAAAGGAAACTTAAGGAAATGCTCAAAACCAATACACGAAATTTCAACTGAAGAGTTAGCTATAGAATAATACAAACATACAAACATATATACGTAATATGTAAATTTAAACCTCTAGCTTCATCTGTCAATAAGGAAATAAGAGAGAAGAAACCAACTGAAAAGCAAACTGAGGAGAAAGCAAATTAAATGTAAATCGCTAATTAATATCCATCATCGTAGTTATACAAACATACAGATGCATTGCACTTATGAGTTCGTAAAAACGCTCTTTGCTTTTTGAAACACAACTGAGGCAAGGCAGTTGGTCTACTAAGTGCTTCTCAGGCTCCTTCGAATCAATTAGAACTCACCCTCGATATAGTCCATCAGTGGCGTATTGGGAAGCTTAAGCTTATCTTCCACTGGTCATTAAGCTTGAGAGCTTTGATATTTAACAAGACTTTCAGAGTTGACAGCAGTACTCGATTCTTCTTTAGATATGTCTGAAGAACAGCCTTGAATATTATAATAATATAAATCTGTCTTAAACAGCAGAGTTCGATACGATCTGCACTCGATCGAACCCATCAAAAACATGAGAAGTTAAAGAAACTATAGTGCATACTTTCGAGCGCAGTAAGTCTACTGAATGTCTTAGGTGCCACCAGCTGATCAGCCTCACCTAGCAAACGACCAACTTTGTTGATATGAGCAACAAATCCTCTCACCTTGCATTTCTTTTTCCAGCAAATCATTTTCTCAAAACCGAAAAAAAACAAATGAAATATTTGAACGAAAAATTTTCAGTTTAATCTACAAAAAAATATTTAAATTAACATACACTTGTTTTCCTTAATATTCTCGACGAGGGCATGTCTCTCACTCGCACATTCAAGGTAGTTATATGTATGTTTCGCTTGCCTATTTTTTGGTACCCTGAAGCCATTACCTGATTTGCGAAACTCGTTTATACCAAATCTCATTGGCGTTTCTCTATTTCAAAATTTCTTTCAGATGTTCATTTTCGAAAAGCTCGAGGCTGAACTGGCGACCTGAACGAAAACAAATTCTAAGTTTCATACAATGCTCCGTGTGGCAGTGTTAGTTCAAGCACCTTTCTAAAGAGCAAATGACAATTCGGTTAAAACGAGTTTCAGAACCATTGTTTCTGCGATCTCCGCCTAGTCAAAAAATGATTCAAATCTTTTGATTTTCATATTAAGTTTCGAAACATGATAAGTATTTGGATTCCAGCTTACACTCTCTGAAGCTCTTAAGGCAAGCGGCGATGTAAATTCACTCGAGTTCCCATCTCGGTTTTTTTATTATTTAAATTTCTTTTTCAGTTTGTTTTGCATTTTTGTTTTTGTTTCGTTATGAGGTTATGTTTTCGTGACATTTTACAGGGTTAGACGAACACAAGGAGGTAAGACACTAGACAACACACATACTCAATGAAGTGCTATCATTATTTCGCTTTGGATTTATTTTCATTTTTCCTTTATGAAGAAGAAAAGGAACCAAACGGAAATGGAAATGATAAATAAGATAAAAAATCAAAGCTGTAAATGAAAAGGAAGTTTGGAAATAAAAACGATTCGTGTTGAAATTGGTAACCCCACAATAGGCAAGAAAAGAAAAAGCTCAAATAAAAGCTTACTTTGACATTTTGGTTCTCTTACGGTTTTTGAAACATTTAGCTTTTTTACATTGGAACACAAAAGAAAATCTAAGGCAATTCACGTAAACCGATATATAATATAATGAATAACTGTAAAATAATTAACTGAACGTAAAAAAAAGGAAAGTCTCAAATGCAAAGAACTAAAACAAAATGAAATAATTTAAGAAACATACCCTTGGATAACAACGAAAACCAGTTTTGGACGAGAAATGTTTAATTTGTTTTTTTTTTTTTTTTTTTTGCATATTTCCAACGCATAAAATGATAGACTCATTGAGGGGAATTGGTGGAGGATTGTGAGGATGTGAACTGGGGTTTTGAATATTTTTTATTAAATGTGTTTCAACTAAAACGGAAAATACTTGTGAAATAGCCTTTGGAATTAATTTTCAAAGCATAAACTCGAGGCTACTTCACACAATCGAAAATTCATATTTGAGTGATAAACAAAAAACTCAAATTAATCACATAATTACTGAACATTAAACATTATAATTTAAATTCAAATATCGAAAGGTGAAATTTTCACTTTGCAAATTTGATTTGAGCTTTTTCTCTTCATTGCACCAGAGTTTTCTATTCCATTCCGTATTCTTCTTTCCATACAAATACTAAATACTCGCGACTTAAATGTCCAACGACCCGCTCGCAATCTGCGGGGGTGCAATATCAAGTACATATGTACTTACTTACATAGATAGTCTATGCATTCATGATATTTATATTGTGAAATTTTGATTAAATTCTCTTTCCCCTTGCAGGCCTGAGGAGTTCCCTGCACAATGGCATACTTAAGCGAGTAACATTACATCTAGAGCCTACAACTACTTGGGTGTGGGAATTCTGTATTTATATATGTATGAACGGCAGTACTCACTTTTCGCTATATTCGTCCATGTGTGCGTACGACTGCACCGAGTTCTCTTCAATCAGAAATTTGACGCGTTGGTAAAAGGATGCGGTGACCGAAGGTGGTTGCTTGCGTAGTAGGACCTCGACAGGGTCATTGGAAGACAGGCACATAATGTGCTCGGCGCAGGCGGGATGCGAGCAGCATTCACTGTCCGAGCAATCAGTCATGCCATCTGTAACGAAATAGAAAAAGAGTACAACAACAATAAGTGGTAGGCAAACACTACTGATGGTGGTGGCGAGAGCAGAGTACAAAAAGGACGAGCCGATCAATCAACTTAATTGACACTTGCAACAGAGGTCGACGCATTCCAGTGTGCAGGCATATCAGTAGCACCGAAAGACCGCCCGCGGTCTGGTGAGAGGCTGGAGAGAATAAATAGTAACTAATGAGGCGTGCTTTTAGGCGCTTGAACCAAGTCGGCAAATTTGCAAATTAGCATAATCTCTGGCGCACTCTACGTTTGCACAATCAACTTACTGCTTTGGAATAAGTATGAGCCAATTTTCAACACCTCCCTTGCATCTTATTTACGCAGCGTCTTATTGTGCATGCAATGGGAATTCATCCGTTTCAGAGCCAAGCAAACCCTGTCCCCGTTCCACTGCCGCAATCGTCGCATGTGGCACGTGGTGAGGCAAAATTTCTTATCAGGGCTGCTTTAAGATATGGTGTGGCCCATCTCGAGCCGCTTGCCAGTTAAGCCCTTGGCTAGTGTTTCTACTCCATATTGTTCTGCTCCTTCGTCTTTATTGCGTTATGTCTTGGGATTTCTTCCCGATTTCCTTTCCACTTGAGAGTTTGCACTACAGGATTTCTAGTGCTACAAATATTGAAACACTCTCGAGTGGTGCTCGACGCCAGCTCCTTGCTTTGTCGTCGCTTCCGTGCTCTTGCTTTTGTTGCTTTTGTATGTGTGTATTTGATTTTATTTGCTCGGCTTCCACCCGTCTGCCTTTCGTTACGCAAATCATTCACTTACTCAGTCTTTCAACCACTCACTCATTCACTCTGCGACAGTGACGACAGTTGGTGTATGAAAGTATAAGTGCAACAACAAAATGTGAATGCTAAGTAGCTGTACGCTTTTAAGTTGATTTCAATATCCGTTTATTTCCTCTGGCACCGGCGCCCTCCAGCTCCTGTCCGCCCTGGTACCGGCGCTCATTCAGTGCTCGGTTGCTTTCGAAGGCAGGTGGGACTCCCAACGTTCTATGACACTTCAGGCTCACTTCCTTCCTTCCTTCCTTCCTCGCCTTTGCTGTGCACTTTATTCTGCTTTGCTTAACTTTTTATTTCCATTCTCATTTTTACTGCTCTATTTTATTTACCTTTTGTGGATTGCTATTGCTGCTATTGTTGCTGTTGTTGTTGTTGTTGTCGTTAAACTAAACGAATTGTTTATAATCAAACTGCATTGACAATCCAAGGAAAACAAACACGAGCAATAGCACTCATGGCATATTCATACAGATTTAAGCGCACACATACTCGCATGTACACACACATTTGCACCTATTTGTGTGGATCAAAGTGAATGAGTGCTGACGTATGTGTGAGAACATGTTCTGTTTTCCTTTTGTGCAGTGCAAATGTTGCTGATGTGTGATTACAATTGTCACTCCCAACCCTGCGCCGGAAGGTGTTCAAGGAGCTCTTTCTTCAATTGGATTAATTGTGGAAGAAGAGCACTTTCGGGGATCGAAGGGAGAGAAAAAGAAGAAGAATCACTTATTCTTCATTGCATTCTCCTTGAAGAATGCTCCAGCCATTTCAAGCGCAAATAAAGTAAAGTTGGAAATTATAAAATAAATAACGGTTAAAACATATCTGAAGATTTTGCACTCGAGCACGAAACTACACGAGGGATCTGTTGCAAGACATCTTCCACAATTATGTATAAATGCATTTATATAATTTAATGGAAGCCTGCTATTGATTTGGGGGGAGCGGGGGTAATACGCTTCAAGAAAGACTTTTATTTTTAGAATATTTATTCACATATTTATTTATTTTACCTAACACAACCAAGCGCAGCAGAGAAGAGGAAAGCTGCGAGCGAGTGCCTTTTTTATTGCACTGCACATACGCATGGCTCGTCCTTTGTGCTGGAGCATGTCCTTTCCAAGCAAATGAACAATATGTACAATCGATTCCTGTTGTCCTGCGGCAAGAATTACCCAAAGAGCTATATTTGTCCTCATTTGTTTGCAAACATATTTATCATTTCTCTGTGTGCCCTGATGTCCGCATTGTTTTCCTATTTCTGCATTCGCATTTATGTCTGTGAGTGTATCGTCGTTTAGCTGCTACTTAGCCGTATGCACTTCTATTCAGGCTTTTCTTTAATTCGTTACTTTGTGTGCCTTCATATTTTACTTCATTGATTCACACACAGGCCACAGTTCAGTTTCACTGTTAAGGACACGTCCTAGCCAGAGACCAATTACGCAATGCCAATCGGCCTGCAGTCTCTGCTGGTCGCAAGAACGGGCGGGAAAAAAACTTCACTGGTCATTTCCAAACACGACGTCCAATACAAATCTGGAATCTGGAAAGTCTGAAATTTGTTTGGCCTAACTGATTTTCAAAGTCGATAAAATTTCCTTTCTGAATCTCCTTTATTGTGGTTGTGTTGTCATTACTTACCGCCATCATTGTCTATGTTATCCTTGCAATTCATTTCCAGCGCTATCGAGCAGTCAGATCCGGCCCAACCTTCAATGCAATCGCAGCGATATTCGCCGTTTTCCAAAGTACATTGACCGTGACGCGAACAACCATTCTCGCAGCCGGCTGAAAAAATACAGTAAAGTTTTATAATTATTTTACACGAGACTTTTTGTTTTTACGTAATATTTTCCTTAATGACTACAGGCAAGCTACGTGAAAATAACAGTAAATATGTTCGTCATATAATATCCTCAAAAATTCATTTTTCACATTCCCTTCTCTGTGTTTTTAAATATTTGAAAGGTAAATATAAATTTTCTTTAATATTAAATGCTCTTCATTTGATATTCCCAAGCCCGCGCACACACACATCCATGAACTTCTGTCGCCTGCCGCCAATTTTTTTTTTGCTTGCCTGGAAATCACTTGAAATAAAAGTTAAAAAGCCAATTTCGTTTGAATAGCAGGAAGTTTTCTTCGCCGACAAATAACTTCACTTAACTGTCAATTACAGTCCGCTCCATTCAGGCTTCTTGCCTCTTCACGCTCCTCTCACCAAAGCCATCCTCCGCTGAGCCAACACATACGATCGGCCAAGCAATAAAATAGAATATTTGACGCAAATACATTTTACTCCCTCACCAATTTTATTAACTCAAATCGAATTTGAACTTTGCAGACACACAAATAGACTGCGATTCCATCAAATGCCACGCGACTTCATTGCCAGTCTCCCAACCAGTCTTCGAAACAGCCAACTGATAGAGTAGCCAGCAGTCAGCGTCTTCGGCACCCAAGTGGTGTCAATCGATTTTATAAAACAATAAAGTAAGGAAAAAAAAAGAAAAAGTTGAGCAATAAACGCGAGCAAAGCGCGCTGAAGTGAAGCGCTGACGAAGTGCCGCTTTTAAAAAGGCCAATGAAGGTCATGCAAATAAAGCATTGAAGACGAGGAGGAAAACTCCCGATGGGAAATGAAAATATTGGAAAACGGCGGGAGGCTCATTTATATGTTTTTCGCGACTTTCGGAGCATAAAAAACTGAAAAGTGAAATTCTTTAATAAAAATAAGAGAAGACCACTTTTTCACTAAATGAACGCCAGGAAGACGTGATTTCGAGAATAGAAATGCCATTACTGCATACGAGTATAAAGCAAACAACAAAACCAACTGCCTAATTCAGAGAAAAAAACCAAAATCGCCAAACTATTTCGCTGAAGTAATTCGAAATCAATTTGAAAGCGCAAAACAGGTAAACATATTTCAATACAAGCATCCAGACACACACACACATCGGCAGTTATGTATGCATTTACAAATAGCTTGTAGCTGAAATTCGCCATCCAGCTGTCACCAAGTGCTGCCGCATCCGACTTCGCGTAGTAGCTGTCATGTCTAGCTTTTAGTTTTACCTCATGCTCGAGCTGACATTTACGATACTGATAATAACAGAGAAGGGAGAAGCTAGGAATGCGAGCATTCAATGTGCAGTTTTGCTCTACGTTTTACTCGACACGACAGGATATTAGATGCTGACAAAAAGGCTGCCGACCTCCATTGGCTGAGGTTGCGCTATCAACAACTATATTAGTACATATGTACGCATGGATTTCACATAACGACACAGGTTTGAATGTTTCGCCAGCGACACTCAAACTTTGACGAAATTAGCCGCTGTCAGCTGCAGTCCAATTTTCATACGAACCTTGGGGCAATAGTTTCAAAGCAAAAAGCTTGAAAGATCTAAAGCTCGAAAAATAAGAAATTAAATCGACGTAATCGAAAATAATTTGGAATATATGGCGGTCAAGGTAGCCGAGTTGTAAGCCCTGCGTGCGGCCTTCCGAAAGGCCCGCTTGAGTTGAGTTTCGACTTTGCCAAAAAAAAAAAAAAATATAATAAAAATAAATAAACACTTTGCCTGCAGCGAGATCCGCAATGTGAACCCAACGCAAACAAATAATGAAATGGTTTGATTTCATCTTCAAAATACTTGTATTTGAGCAGACTTTTTGGATAATACTCTGCATTATCGATGCGGGAAATTACCCATCAACGTTTGTCACGTCTGGCATGTGACAGCAGGAAAACATTTCATAGATTTGTCTAGGGAATCTTTTCCCTACCGACAAAATGGTTCTCTAAAAAAATTTAACCAGTTCGAAATATTTGTTTTCCAAATAATAAGGTACCAGATACCAGGTCCCAGCCCATTCTCGAATTCTTTCGAACACACACAACAAATTTCAAAAAATCGGTCAAGTCGTTAAGGAGGAGCACAGTTATAAGCAGTCTCACAGAAAATTTGTGCCGCAAGGTCTTTAATCGCAAAAGGGCGCGTATAAAATTTAGGATTAATTCCTTATTTTAATGTTGGTAGCACTGTTATTGGCATTTCCGCAAATCTCATGTCAATGTCACCATTGGTATTTTAGTTGCGCTTGTGTTTACTAAACCACAGCACTCATTCTTCGTCACGATTGCGCTAAAAATTCCACGAATATCGGTCGCCAACCACCGTCATCGCCGCACTTGGCACCATGTATCTTCTGGCTTTTCCAAAAACTCAAGAGACTACTTCGAGGACGCCGTTTATGTCGATTGAGGAGACTAAACGCGAATCGGCGCGCTCTCCGAAGGCAATACCAGAACGTGACTATTGCAAAAAGCGTTGGCATAAGTGCTTTGCATCGGCAAGGGACTATTGTGAAGACGACGAAATCGACGCAGAAGAGTAAATAGAGATTTTTAATTATGCAAACAAATTTACCTTCCTTTTAGCCCACAGGATTATATCCTGCGCACGCTATATGGAACAGGGGCTTAAGTTGACTATAAGGAAAGTGCAGTAAAACAAGAGAAGAAGGGTATTGATGTTGGCACTGTAGTGGGTTATATGAAGGGATCTAGATCGCCTCCGAACAGCCGATGGACATTTGTTAACAGCTCTAAATGACTTTTTATAATTAAAATGTTTAGTCCTACCCTGACTCGAGCCTTGGTCTTCCGAATGGCAGTACGTACTGTTAACCACTCAGCTATTATGGCAACTGTGTTGTTGTTAGTTTGAAATTTCGGCAACTTCCTCTTTTTGGCCAGCAATCTACGTAGAATAAGATCACTCTTATAGATCACTCTTCTGGAAAAAGAATTTCTTTTGCTATCTCCTGCTGCTCAAACCCCATATTCTTCCGACATTTTGCGCAAAATATTCACTGTAACGGCAACAAAAAGTCCCGTGTCAAACCAGTCGATTTTCTAAGCTTGCCAAGAACTTATTTTCAGCGGGTGATAAATTTTCGGTAAGAAAAAATTCAGTCTCAAAAAAGGAAAAAACAGAAAAGTGAAAAAGACGAACTTCATCGCAGAGAAACTCAGCGGGTTTCGGCGCTCTCAGTTATTCTTCACAAACGTACATCTGTGTAAGTGCGTGTCCGTGTCGGCTGTTGATGGCTAAAGTTTTATTGTTCTCCACTCGTCATCGATATGTTGATGTATTGCGTCTTTGCCTTCAGCCTGCTCTGCGTGCTCTACATTGCCGTCTTTGTAGTCTACGATGTGCTATCTTGGCTGTGTCGCTGGTTGGGACGACAAGTGCGCACGGCCGAAGGGACGCGGCCGTTGCCTGCGTCAGGTCGATGAGTCGGAGCTGCAACGAAGACGGGACGGGGAAGATCATGTGGAAAAATCGATTGCGCTTTTGCGGCTTAAAAAGTTGTAAGCCATGGAAAATGGCTGCTTTCGTTAAATGCCTTTTTTGTTGTTACGCATACACGGAGAAAAATATGTGGATATACAATATATATGGATGTGTTAGTGTTTATACATATGTACGTATGCATATTAGTAGTGGTGAATTTAGTTTGATAAAATTGAAGAATTAGTTTCAGAAAAGTTCATTAATTTTCCATTTCGAATTAAAAGAGTTTAAAAAATTTGATGGGACTCGTGTTTTAATGGAATTGAGGTTTTTACGTACATACTTTGAATAAACTAATAACGGTAAATTCTAGAATGTGCTTCTTAAAGGTCGCTGCCATTCACCAGAACCCTTTTGTGAGCTCAGGCTGTCCGCGTGTCCCTCTCTCTTGTCCAGCAGTCCCTTCCCAACGCAAGCCTCTGAACGAGTAGAAGTGTTTTGTACGGGTCATTGTGCTACAGACCATCGATTATGATTACCGACGTTTTGTTAGTTCAATTGACCACATAACATACGTGTGCCCTTCGGAACACACACACACACTCATTCGCTGCGCCAAATGAAAATGCAAAATTAATAGAACGGAAATGTTTTCTACTTCCTTGTCCATTTATGTACGGACGGCTACAGGTGTGGGTGCGTGGGTGTGTGAGTGTGTGGGTGTGTGAGTGAGTCATTACAATGTATATGGATGTATTGTACACGACGGCGGGTGTGCGGGGTGTGCGGGGTGTTGGTCTGCATTGCGTTTTATTGTGCTAAATTCGGCTTATTGGCGTTAATTAACGATCGAGCTCGCAGTGGAAACTCACGGCTTGTGCATGTGTGTGGTGGGTGTGTGGTTGTGGGTCTGCTTGTGGAGTGCATTTCACTCTTGGTGTCCTTTCAATTTCAGCAGCGGAAATGGCAAACCGCAACGACAGCACCCGCCGATAATTAACCATTACTCGCCCTTGCCCCCTGCCCCAGAGACCACCTCGTGTCCACAACACTTACGCCGCGGCAATGCCTTAGCATAGTAATTTGAAGCTCGACCGTTTTGCAATAGCTGCACACACACAAACCCACATCCACATAAACTTCTGATTCATACACATACATAAGTACTAGTTGAGGACAATAGGGGTCGCCATAAAGTGGTATTGAAATTAATACTTACGCAGCGTGCAGTGACGCCCATTCCAGCCTTGCGAGCAGACACAGGTGCCGTTCTTGCATTGTCCGTGTTCCGAGCACCGGGCATCGCAGGGCAGCTGATCGCAGAGATTACCAGTCCAGCCGGGATTACAGCGACATTTGCTCGACTCGCAAACACCATTCGGACCACAGTCTAAACTGCAAACAGCTGCAATGAAAGAGATGGCAGATGATTAGTAACAAAATATCTAAAATTTGTATTTGTTTTAAAGAGAAAAATAATAGAAACCCCTTAAAGGGCTGCAATTGACCTCAAAGAAATTGGAAAAATATATATATATTGGTTGACACTGCTTGGGTGTAAAACGCAAAGATTCCACGCATTCTGTGGCCTTTTTCAAATATTTTTCCTTTTTTTTTTTAAATTAAATGCTTACAAAATTTCAATGGCGTAGCTTAAAATAAATCTTAAGGAGTAAGAGAAATTTATTTGGTTTAAAAAAAAATTCTCTCAAATGTTTATTTGTAGAAATGTGTCTTTAGTCACAACTGAGTTGTATGTGTAACTATAAATAATGAAATAAAACTAATTTTCTTGTAATTTTCGAATATCATCTCTGAAAATCTTGTCTTTCCTGTCCTCGATTCAGTCATTGAGCCATTTTGCGATTTCTTCAAAATACCCGAACCGTGAACCCGCGCACCGTCGAAAAGGTCAGCATTGGGTGGTGTGGGACCTCCCATTTCAGCATTTACCAGACTTTTGAAAGTTACAGCCACGTAAGGTTCAGAATTGTCATGGTACAAAATCATCTTGTCATGCCTTTTGGTCGATTCAGACAATGCATGGCTCAAACGCATAAATTATAGTCGATAACGTTCAGCATCATCACCTGCTTAGCATAGATGTACCCCCAATAATTTCAAAATTCAAATTGCTGCTGCGGTATACTTTATACAAACAAACCCAACAAAGAAGGTGAGGAATAATACTTGCAGAAAGCTTCACCATAAGTCTAGCCTTCTTCCTAAGTCTCATACCTCTTTAAAACTGAATTTCTACTGTTTGTAGTTAGATTTGTACTTTTTTAATGATTAAATTATAAGAAGAAATACTCTTCATATTTTTCCCTTCTGAGAGACTCATAGATACCAGAGAATGCTTATACTGTGCAGCAGCGTCACCCTTAAGTTCAAGCCAGGAGTTGAATTCTAATGGTAAATCAATATCCTAAACATACGAACACTCGAGTATACATTGGCCTATGCACCTGCACCCATTCAGGCTGCATCAGTTTATTATAGACTGAGTTCGATGACAAACCGCCATTTGCGAGTACATCACTACCACCGGCGGGTGAATTAAGCGCTCCTCGAGCACTCGCCGGCAGAAGCGAAAGCTCGAAGTTTTCTTTCACTTACACGATTTACAGTTTTATTAGCTTCAACGAGGTGCCCACGTGGTTTAGAGAAGTATTATATATATGTTTGTATGAATAGATGCTCACATACACACACATATGCACATATGTGGGCATGTGCATGTGTTTCAGAGTAGCCTTTCGCGTTGGCAGCAGAATGAAGTGGAAAGCAAGTGAGCTTTTTGTTCTAAATGATAAATGATGAGCCGCGTTTGGAAAATCGACTTGTCTGGGGTGGGGAGAGAAATGAAGCTGAATTGTGAATAAAGTGGAATTGATAGACTTTGCGGATGCATGCACCATATCACTGGTAGACAATTACATGCATACGTACATATAAATGCATTGGCACATACAAGCATACGTGTTTGTGTAATAAATATGGTTTTAATAAACTCGAAAATCACCATCGATTTTGGTATCAAGTAAAAAAGGAAGACTCAGAGTAATCGAAATCTTTTCAAACTCGAATTTTTCGTTGCGTCAACCGTCTTCTGGAAGTCATTAAAAATGATATCCAAGCAGTATTTGGTAGAATTTATGTTTTAGCCTTTAACCTTATATTTCATTATTCTTGAAGTGAAGGCAGACATTTTTATTGATTCAAATAAAGCAGATTCTTCCCGACAAAGAAATACTGGTATGTCTCTTGCTACATGCAAACTGCTACTCAGAGACCTTACTCTTGGGCAGGCGTGAGTTAAGATGGAACCAAGTTGGAACCACGCTGTTACTAGCAGAATTTCTGTGGTCTTAACAAGTCACTGCTTAATAGGATGGCATGAGGCTAGAATAAGAGTTCCCTTCAGGAGATGCTATAGACCGACGAGAAGCAAGAAACGCCCTCTCGTCTTCCATGGAAATGCTCCGCCTTGGGCAACTCTAGGTTCCAATGCTTCTATTAAAGATTTGTATAAAACAGCAGACATAAAGATAAATTACCAAATTAAATTTATAAAGCAGTCGAAGTGGATGGATAATGATAATCTTTGAGCTACTTTTAATTGAACTAAATGATTAAGTGCTTTCGATCTTCCACTCGGCATATGAACGCAACATTTTTCTGCCATATGTTCATACACGCTTTCAACTGGAACCCAATTCTACCAACTGTCTATTGACCGACAATGCATCAGCTTCATACTAGTTAAATACCAGTTCATTTACGAATGTTGGCGGTTGAAACCACTAACCACTCGCCTATTGTGACGATGTAGCGAACAACGTCATTTCGTGCACCTTAACAGAACGCAAACGAAAATGGAAACCAAGTTGAAACAACAACATTCCGTGGTGGGAAGAGCTATTATTTCCGCTACCGTTGAGCTGCGGGACCTGCTGCACTTTGCATAGGCATGATTACACCCTCTGTATACTAGTATTTGTGTAGTATTTAGCTAGAATTTCAGCAGAGTAGTCTTTCTTCTCCCTGTAGGGTTGTTATGTGTGGTAGTTTTGTGTTGCAAATATGCTGTTTATTACGGTTTATTCTTTTAGGGTTATATTTTCTCATTTACTTTCATTTATCCACTAGCGGGGGCTCACTATTTTTCATGAGCATATGTGTTTATGCAAATAGTTGTCCTCCCTCGCCTTCACTATCGACTAGCATTTTCTCACAAATCGAAAGGACATTAACCTGCTTGTGTTGTTGCGGAAGCCCTTTTGGTTGCTTACACGCCTTATATATAACCGTTTGCATGTGCATCTCTTTTTCATTTTTCCAACATTTTCAATCCCGATGGATTTGAGCGCAGTCACGTCGAATACTCCCCAATCCCTACAAGTATATACAGAATGTGTGTGTGTGTTCGTCATTTCATCGCTAGCACTTTTGCAATTGTGTGAATTCTGACAACTACATTCGACACACACATACATACGCATATTTGAAAATCAACGAGCTGCAACTGCACCACGTGACTTTCGCCTAAAGCGAATCAGAGATACACACGAGTCGCTGCAGCTGTGGAGATGGCGCACAAATTGCAGGTGTGAGACGATGAGTTGCAGACTGCAAATGATAAAGAAGCCATTCAGACAGACTGGCTGACAACCAAATGAATGGGGGAGGTAGGTGGGCAACTACAGAAATTCCCTTGTACGTGTCGCGGTGTAATGTATGCAAGCTCCTCAGGTAGGCCACTCGTGACGCTTGCAAATCGCACATGAATATGGTCGAGAGAGAGAGAGAGGTGCGGGGGGAGGAGAGAAGGAGTAGTTGCAGAAAAGATAAGATCACTAACGCAATCCCATATACATTTCGCTTTTCGTTGCGGTCTTCATACAAAGTGCTAATATGAACGCAAGCACAAATGTGGCAGCAAGGCGACGTTGATAAACATGCGCTTATGATGTTGTGGCACATCGGTGCGGCATTTATGGAAAATACTGTCTGGTGTGGTGTGAGTTGTGTGGCAGAGATAGAAGAAACACGGCATCTCTTGTTGACAGCACTTTCTTTGGCCGCTTTTCACTTTTCAAAAGGACTTTGTTGCTTGCCACATTTGCACGGACAACTGGCAGGAGTTAAGACGAAAAAACCAGTTGAAAAGTGCAAATGGATTTAGGTAAATCAACCAACTGCAGGTGTCGGGTAGCACAAGGCAAGCAGGGCGAACTAGAAATTAATTGCCAATGCAATTTAATTTTGAATTGGGTTTAAAACAGAACTAGCAATGTTTCATGGTGATAATAGTATTCAGTCTTGTTTTTAATACCAATTCCTCAGAATCTGTATGAGAAGTGGGCCAGTGACGAGTAATTGAACACAAATTCAAAGTGCACTAAGTTTCATATTAAAAACAATATTTTAAATATTTTACTTTCAAGGTTTATTCCGAAAAATTAAATGAACCGGTATAGTTTGTGAAATACACCACTAATACATTAACATTATATCTGCTGCGTCGCTGTTGTTTGACCGCACCTCAATACCATTGGCCTTTTTTCGTACCTGAGTCAGCTTCAATATCTTTATTTTCACCTCAGGTCATCTGCTGAGTGCTGACCACTTCAATGAACCAATACAACATTGTATCGTTATATACACACACATACGTGAGCGTAAAACTGACAAACCCGATAAACAAGACGACGAGAGAAATAAGTGAAATAAGTGAAATGAGAAAGAAATGAGGTCAAGGGTGCGCCTGGCATTGATATCATATTTTGCAGCATCTTCAGCCACGCTGACCCCCCGCTTCCCTCCCTCACTTACCAAAAAGAAGAAAAACCTTCGGTTTAAAGGCGCTTTGTGGGAGTTCACAGTGCTTTCACTAGTATTTTTATAGTGAGCATGTGTTTCCGTGTTTTTCCGTGCCTGTGTGTGTATGTGGGCGATCACTTAATCATTCTTGCCACATGAATACCATTGAAAATCGGACGAGTTCGAATGTGTATTAAAAATGTAAGAAATTTTCGGTAGAATAACTGGCCTTGCAGGTGGCTTTTGTGGCCTTTGTTGCACCACTCAATAGCGCTGGGTGGGTCTAGGGCGGAGGAAGAAGGTGACTGGGTATGAAGCTGTTTTGCTATTGAACGCTTTAATGAAATTTAGACTCTCTGCTGAGTTACGCTTGAGTTGAATTCGTAACGGCATTCACGAAGTGCTCTTGTTGGATTTTGAATGAAACTTTCAAGTACAAAAACATATTTGCGTCTGCTCTGCGCTACATTTTAAATGAAAATCGCAATTTAATGTTCCTGCGAGGGAAGTACTAAAACATAATGGAACTCTTTGTGGTTGCATGTTATCGAAGTGCTGCTGAATAAAACCATAAAACCA